GCAGCATACATTTAATACCACTATCAGATTGGCTTCGTTTGYATAAGCAGCAACCGTACGCSCTTATTGAGGCGTGGGAGAAGCCATGTATTTGGCAGATGGCACTAGACTCAACGAGGAATGCTTATCGATAAGAGTTGCATTAGGTTGGCTTTAGAGTTCTGCCAGCTAGTGTCAAGGCGCAATGGAATCGACTCATCCTAATCTAGTTTTTATATCCAAAGCTCTTGCAATAAGATTTTTGCTTTGGTAACWAGTGGGGCTAGTAATCCAAGAGGATCAAAAAGGCGAGCAGAAATTGACAATATGTTTCTTTTAGTGGCTCGCAGATCATTAAAATTGTCGTCTAAAACAAAGCGAAACAAGTCCTCTTTCGGCAACCAATGGACTCCTAACGGTTTAGTGGAACCTTTGTCATTGAAACTTAATGACTTTTCAGTGCAATCACTGTCGAAAAAATTAGGGTGGTTCGAAAACCATTTCGTTAAGGATCCTGCCGAGTTTAATATTTTTATTACCTCACTTCTCAAAAGATCCAGAGACTCAAAGCTTTCGGACCCTGTTAAYAAATCATCAACATAAAACTCTCTTTTGATGGCCAATGAACCGAGTGGATATTTCATTGTATTCGCATCACTGAGCATTTGCAAACACCGTGCGAGAAATGGAGCAGGCGCAGTGCCGTATGTTACGGTGTTAAGACGAAAATTTTGAATTTGCTCAGAAGGATGCTCTCTCCACACAATAAGCTGACAATTTCTGTCTTCTTCATGCATAATTATTTGGCGGTACATTTTAGTTATGTCCGCTGTTAGTGCATACTTATGTATCTAAACGATTCATTCAACGCTATTTGAGTTGAAGATCGACTCGACGCATCAAAGACAACACGTAATTCGGTTGTTGTGCTCTCGGGCCTTATAGCGCATTAATGCGGAATGAAGTAGTGTGTCTCACTCGGGATCTTATTGTTCGTTGGGCTCATGTGACCCAATGCTCTATATTCATTCATAAAGTCCAGATACATTTTACGAAGTTCTGGATCTTTTAATGTCCTTCTCTCCAGGGCCTGAAACCGCCGAACTGCGGTTTCGTAGGAGTGACCGAGTAACTCACGGACACCTTTAAAAGGCATTCTTACTTGAAGCCGTCCTGAAGGCAATGCTTGAGTTTTATTTACGAAAAAGTTTTCACACTTTCGTTGCTCTTGTGTGAATTTAGTGCCATTTCAATCTGAAGGTAATTCTTCAAGAGCCCAAAATTTTTGGACTACCGAATCTATTGACGTAAAGTCTTCTTCAGCTTGGAATAATGTGCTATGTAATCTTGGAGGAGAACTTATGTTACTGGCGTATTTGCCAGATACAATCCATCCTAAAAGGGTTTACTGAAGAGTTGGTTGGTTAGGACCATTTTTAATTTGGCCAGCTGCTAAAAGATCGAAAAATGTTTCAGCACCCAAAAGGATATCCACTTTTTTAGATTTGTGCAATTCTGGGTCCGCCAATTCAATATTGTGCGGAATTATCCAGCCACTAACATTATATTATGGTCTGGACGATTTACCGAAATGCATCGCAAACCCCAGAATTCCGCCGAAAATTCACAATTATTTAACCTCGACTTGACAAACGCGCTTAGTTTTACCACACTTTCGTATTGGAATTGCCAATTCCAATTACGCTTAATGTTTTATGCTGACGTCGAATCCGCAACTTCTGTGCCAAATCCTCAGTCGTAAAGTTGACCTGGGAGCCTGAGTCCAGCAACGCTCTCGCGGGCAGGTAATCTCCACAACTGGTCCTCACTAAAATTACTGCTGTTGCCAACATTACCCGATCCGGCATACTGGCTGTATGCATTGCATGTGTGGTGGATGGTTGCGGATGAAGCGCAGCGAGGAAAGAGGGGCGGATACTGGTGCAACAGCGAGTGATGGGATCGATTGCATATCCGGCAACGACCCGGTTTGCATTTGGACACGGTATGTCCCTTACGCAAGCAATTTATGCATAGGGGTACCGATTTGACGAACTCGAATCTCTGTTGCACCGGAAGAGCCTTGAAAGTAGGGCAGGCAGTTAGATGRTGATCCCTCGAGTTGCACTGTTGGCAACTAGGCTGCTTGGTTTTTGCAGCAACTAGCGCCGATTTGGTCCTATCCATTTGTTGCTGCTTCCCATGATTCGGATATCGGATGTTCTTCCCATTTGGATCGGATGGCAGGGTCAACCTTTGTCATTACAATGTGTATAATAATGGCGTTTGTTATATGTTTCTCATCGCCCAGCGATAGCAATGAGTCATACACCGCTGACAGTTCGTCAATCATTGAAAAATATCAAGCATTTATTATCGTAADCTTTTTTGAGACTTGCCAACGCTTTCGGGTAATTTTCATTCGACATCTGAAACGCTGTGACTGTTCCCAAAGCCTCTCCAGATAGACAATTAACAAAATGGTTAAATTTTTCAATATCTGGGATACTTGGATCGTTATGAACCAAGCTCTCGAACAAAGTCATAAAATTTTTGAATTCTGAATATTCTCCCTTGAATTTCGGCAAATTCATTTAAGGGAGCCTTKAGCTGTGAGAAGCTACAAAAGATGTTTCGGCAAGTGAAGTTCTATTTTTCGCTAAAATTGACTTAATTATGGATTTCGTTTCAGCGATTATGTCCTCTAACTCCCCTCGGGCCATGTCGTCCTCATCAATTTCTTCAATCTTTGATTGGCACTTCATTAATTTTCGACTATGTGAATTTAATATATCGAGACGACATTCCAATTCTATTGGATCTAAAGRCATAGTCTTTTCAAGATGGTCCGTTTTAATGCGCAAAATACTACTTTTCGCAACCGTCTTTGACGTCTTAACGATTTTAAGTCCGTCAACTCCTTACTTGGAGACAGGCTTCCGCGAGTTGGCTTTGGCTTGGTCATTTTACGTTGGTTAAATTAAATTTCCGAAAAAAAGACTATAACGGTTGGTAACAGATATATTAAGAATCGATAACGAAAACGAAAAAATATATGTATGTCGAGTCTCAAATATACGAAAGCCAAACCAATAGCAATAAAAGTTGGCAACAAATATATTTGGAATCGGTTACGAAAACGAAAAAAAAGATAATATCGATTCCCAAGTATACGAAAGCCTAACCAATATCCAAAATGAGCAATAGCACAAAAAAGTAATCTAATCGGAAAATGTCCGAACGAAAATCGATAAAAATTGTGAAAAAACGACCGATAATTGCAAACGCGGATCGAAAAAATTGCGAAAAATTAGAAATTTTAAATTAATAATTTTTTCACCTTTATTTCAAAATAAAGGGCTACCGCAAAATCCCAAAATCGCTTATTCACTTGCGTACGCATATACATATTTATGTATATGTGCGTATGCTTAATATCTATATATTATAGATATACATATGTATATATATGTAGATGTACATATATGTACAATATTTATATGAACGACAATATAATTGAAAATGAAAAAGGGAGAGCCAAAAACTGAAAGTGTGCACTTGTTTTTTTTTTTTTAATTTTATTTGTATGTGTTTTCGTTTCATTTTCTGTTCGCACTGCTTTCAGTAAGTCGCACTCGTTACCTGGTGCGTCGGCTGTTTGCCGGCGCTTATGTCCCTTTGACACAGTATGCAGCGGCAGCTCATTCCCACGACAGCAGCGGATTGATGGCAGCAGCGTTGATAGCAGCAGTGCTTTCAGCAGTAGCGGTATGGCTACAACGAGTGCTAATACCGGCACTTTGCTTTTACCGGTACTTTTAACGCGGCACTTGAACAGTTTTCTTTTTAACGGGTTTGCCACCGGCTTTTTAAAACTGTTTTTTTTTTTAACGTTTAGGACGGCTCTTTCGTTAATTACCAGGTTAAACACTTTGGTACGATTTTTTGTAGAATTCATGTACCCGTTTTTGTGCGCCTTTTCACACTTTTTTTTTTTT